GGTTTAGGTGCCCCTCTCCGTGCTCGCCTGTGCAGCTTGGCCCCAGGGCTGCCCTAGCTCACCCTCCTGCACACCTCACGGTCAGCATCTTGGCAGGGCAGCCCCATTTGCTCCGTGCAGGACACACATGGAGCGAGCAGAGCGTGGTTGCTGCGGGCGCTCCCTTTCTCGAGCCCCTTGGGTGGCCTCGAGGTGACACTGGCACGGGTGGTGACACGGAGCAGGCTGAGCCACCTGCTCAGGGGCAGGAGAGGGCACAGAGCAGGTCGATGCAGGAGGCTCCGGACATCCCGGCCAACTTGGCACGGCCTCCCGGGCACGCAGCTGCTGTCCCCTGTGGCCCGAGTCCTTCCATTCATGCCGGGCCCTGGCCCGGCCACTTGCACATCAATATCCTTGCTGTGGGGCCAACAAGCGCTGCGAGGCGGCGGGCGCTGGGAACGGCGCCGAGGCTCCGCGCGGCTCCCGGTCAGTGCCTGCAGGAGCGCRGAGCAGCAGCGGGCACCGAGCGCGCGAGCGGCCCTCGCGAGGGCACCCAGCCTGCGCACACCGGGAGGCTCCCTGGCCGAGCRGGAGGGCACCGGGGAGCCCCTCTGCGCGGCAGCGCCCCAGCCTCTGTGCTCCCCCCGGGAAGGGAACTTAGCTTTGGGGGTGTCCTTTTGGCCCCTGCAGACACGTGCTTTGCGGAGAAGGCAGAAGGCAGCGAGCGGGAGGGGGCAGCGGCGCGGGCTCCGCCGCTCCCTGCGTGCGGCACCAGTGGCTGCAGTGGACGGGCGGCAGGGCCGGGGCCAGGCAGCGGCCACGGGGGCTCTCGGGGCTGCCGATGCCCTGGTGCTCGCGGCCAGTGGCCTCCCCGCGCGGCAGAGGTGGCCCCGGGGACACGCGCGGCCTCGCCGGGACAGCGGGCTGGGCGCAGCACGGGCAGCTCCCAACGGGCCCCCCCTCGCTGCCCCATGGCGCAGCCCCACACAGCCTCGGCGCCACGCGCGTTTCGTTAAGAACTTAGAGCCTTTTATTGAAGAATACATTCCGGGTAGCATCTCTGAGCAACGGCGGCAGCACAGGCAGGAGCCGGGCGGGACGTGGAGGGTGGACTGGCACAGCGCCCGGCGCAGCAGCGCGGCAAGGCCAGGCGCTCCGAGGGCGCGGGGCCCGCTGCATGCCCGCGCGCCGCGGGGACAGCTCCCTGGCGCAGCACGCGGCGCCGCGGAGCAGCTCCTCGGCCCGTCGCGGTCGCGGCGGCGGCGGCGGGCGGGCGGCTCCTCGGCTGCCGGGCCTCGCGGAAGCCTCATCCTTCCTTCATCTGCGTGGAGATCACATACACGGGCAACCAAACACACACTACGCATGCAATGCGGGCACACGCCCTGCTAGGATCATCAGGCCTACGGGGAAAGGGGAACGCACGTAGTGGGGACGGACAAGCACTCCTTAATGCTAGGTTACAGACGGCATGAAACACCGGAGCCCTTCCTTACAGCACAGGGCCCGCAGCCTCTACCCAGTACCTAGGTACGTGTGTGGCGCGGGGCACAGCGAGCAGCGGGCAGTGCGCGCATGCGCAGCTCTGGGGCGCAGGCGGGGGCTCCGCGGCCCCAGCCCGGCCCGGAGACGCCCCCGGGCCGAGCGAGAGGCCGCCTCGCAGCGTCGCGTCCCCGTTAGGAACCAGCACAGGAGGCCAGCGGGGACAAGAGGCAAGGAGGAAAGCAAAGCACGAGGGCCGGCGCTCCCCGGCCGGCTCCGGGGCAGCGCCGGGCGCCGCTCCTCGCTGCAAGAGGCTGGAGCTGCTCGACTAAAACGTCTGTACAACCAAAGCGGTAAAGAAATGTACACCTCGCGTGGGGAAAGCTGCAGGCGGCCTCGCGCAGGGCGGCTACACGTGCAGGCGGCCTGTGGGAAAGGAAAGCGCGTAACAGTCAGGCTGGGAGAGCACCGCGCGCAGCCCCGCGGCCCC